TAGTAGTAGTAGTAGGAGCAGCAGTAATAGTAGCACTAGTAGCAGCAGCAGTAGTAGTAGCAGTAGCAGCAGTAGCCCCCCCTACCAACCACCTCTCCTAGACGCTGTTTAAGCGCACTTTCAAAACCAACTGTGTTGTCCACGTGCAAGCCTTTAGATCCTCATGGATCATACCAGCGCCCATATCCTTCCACCATCTTCCACCGTCCACCGAAGGGGGATATGTGGGGGCAGTTTTCTGGTAGGGAGCCCGTGTTGGGCTCGCCCCCTCGCCTAACACCGCCACAGCGGTTGGCCCACTTCTGCACGTCCTCCTGCTCGATCGAGCGCGCTGACGTTTTGGGGTATAAGAGTGCCCCAGGCAATACCGCCCGGACTTTAACCCGATCCGCTGGCTCATGCTGAGGGACATCCCTCGCCCCCTTCTCTACAGTAAGGCGGGTGCGGCGGCATTACCTCCCTGCCATGGGGTTGGCCAGGGCCACCCCTTCCTGCTCTGGTACTGCAGCACCCGTCTCTTGTAGGCCGGCGCCAACATAGCAGCAGGGAGCAAGCACGCAATGAAGTTTAAAGTGAAGCAACAATCAACTGCTGCCCCAATGCAACAAACATACAAGCCCAAAGGTGCAAGCTGTACGATGACACTGATATCGCAACCATGCTACAGAGGGAGAGACGGGGGGTTTTGCCGAACCCACGAACCGATACCCCGGCACCGTCAGTAGCCGTGGCCGAAGCAGTAGCATCAGCAGTTGCAGTCACATAGCAGTTTAAGTCCTCGGCATCGAAGTGGTAGTGTAGCAGTAGTAGTAGTAGTAGTAGTAGCAGCAGCAGCAGCAGCCGGCGGTCTGCTTTGGTTCAGGCAGCTCTTTGAGCTCCATGACTGCAAAGGCTATGTCGGGCTCGGTGGAGATGTCTTCCCAGTCCCACGACAGATCTTCGATGTCGATGACCTTAGGTAATGTATAGTCTTGGGGTTCGCGGAGCATTGCGATCATTTCAAAGCTGTCATCACTGATGTTTGCAGAGCCCTAGGTCACAAGCAGAACACCGCACCAGTACCGGTGTCGGCTCAACACTCCGAGAACAAGCTCACTCTTCGAAGCTTGAAGCCACACGATCTTCTCCTTCTGGGGGTCTTGGGCAGCCAAGGTGCCGAGAATGAGCTGATGTTTCGGCGTATCTCGCAGTGTCAGGAGAGACTCTGACTCGAGGCTCGGAGAGCTGCTGTGCCGCGCCTTTTGAAGCAGGTCCTGTGTGTTCATCCGCGTCAGTCCTTGGATTTGAAAATGTCCGGCTGCAGCCGTTGCTCGAGAAGGGTGCTGCTGCGAAGGAGCTCTGCAGCAGCCGATCCTTCACGGAGACGGGCGCCTCACGCTGCGCACCGCCACATCGGCTCTCAAAGGTCCTGGCCCCAAGTCCTCTTCCTCCTCATCTGGCTCCTTCTCGGGCTCAGTTCGAACATCGGCCTGGTCCTGCATGGCTCGTCTTAGGATCCTCTCCCTATGCTTCCTCTGCATCTGGGCCTGAAACGTGACCTTGGGTGAGCTTCGAGAGCTCGCCAGCGAGGGCCAAAAGGCATGGCAAAAGTGAAAACAGCGCATCAGCTTCAGCCCATTTGCAAGAGGAACGGGCTTGGCTGGCAGTCATTGGTGGACTCTATTAGAGCTCTTCTAAGCTCGGAGGCATAGAAAAGTCGCATGCTGGAACTTCGTGAAAGCGGCCAGTCTAGTCTACGACTTCTGAAGCCAGGAGCTCAGACGTATGGGCAATGGGTACTCCAGTGACGTCCCAGGCTCAGTCATGGCTCAGGCCAGCAGCCAGGATACGTCTCAGCATGTCACAGCATGCTGATGAACCCCGGCTCGTGTTCCAATTCTGCACGTCGAGCTATTTGAATCGCGTGTCGACCCTCTGTGCGGACTGGACTGTGAAGTACTGTAAACCAAACAAAGCCCTGTTCACTCCGAGGTTTTCTTCTCACGTTGCGCGTTCGCAAACAGGCAATATTGTCGTCCCAGCCCCTGTGCAAAACATCGACGGCAAGCGTATTCAAAGCCGCTACTTTTGAAGATGGCCCATGCAGTCACACGTCAAGAAGATTCCCAAGTTCATGCACAGAGGAGAATATCACTGGGGAGCATCTGCGAGGCAGCACACGTCGTTTTCAAGACCTTGAAGTCTTGAAGTCTGGCCACAGCATGTAAGGGCTTTCGATAGTGACCTGATAGTGAGCAAAAATCTTCCGTTTGCTGCGCACAGAGCTCCGTTCCAGAAGGCGTTATCAAGCAAAAGAGACTCCCCATGTTTGGGACCTCCATCGCAGAATCATGAACACATGCGGAAGCATGACAGAACAAATGGGGGAATTACATGCCGAGCTCCTCCGGCACTACAGGTGCCTTGCACAAGGGGCACAACCGCGAATGCAGCAGCCATTCCTGAGACACATCTGGGTCTGAGAAGCGCAATATCAAACAGCATAAACAGCGAAGGCAGGCCACCTTGATGCACTCTGTATGATACCAGTGGCAGCAGGGCAGCATGGTCAGGACCTCACCTGGCGAAGTCGAGGGCCGGCTTCTCCTATGAGCACAGCTACACCTCGGCCCCGGGCCTGACGTGGGCACCTCCAAACAGATCGTGCAGGGCTCGAGTTCGGGTGCAGACGTCGCAGGCTTTGCAGGAAGTCTCGACACCACGTCGTCCAGCACACTCGGATCAACCGGGCCGCGAGCGCTCGAGTAGTGTGGCTCTGACTGAAGTAGCTCCATAAAAGATCGAGATCTCCTGAACGACAAGGGCGACGAGGCCGGACCTGATCCGCCTCCAGCCTGGGATTGGCGGAGATGTCTCTCTTTGGCCTGCTTCTGTCGCGCGTCCACTCGCAGGCGATCGGCTAGGCAGGGAGACTGGGCCAGATCAAGTCGCTTGAGCAGCTCACGGATCCTGGCCCGCCTTGTCTGCGGCCTCCTGCGCTCTTGCTCTGCCAGCACACTCGGGGCGACTGCCAAGGCAGGCTCCACGGCAGGCTCCACGGCAGCCACAGGTGGATCAGGGCATTGGGGGCGTTCTTCGTAGTTGTCAGGATGGAAGCAGGACTTCATGACGGCATGCAGGACTTCCGTGTGAAAGGACTCTGTCGATCCCGATGCCTTCTGACCTCGCTCGCTGGCATTTTCCGCTGCAGCTGCGCTTGAGCTACTACGGGATGGAAATGGCCCTGCAGGCTCCACGGCTGCGTTTGCACAACAGTTTTCCGCCTCAGCCATCTCATGGCAGCCACAACTACAACACTTTAAGCTGGATTCGCTCAGGAAAGAAGTGAACAATGGCCTCTACTCTTATTAACAACAAAAACGAAGGTGCGATATCACGGTCGGCTCTCGGCGACCACGCAGTCGCTTTTGGGAAGGTTGAGGAGCACGAGCTACCCCATCGGACCTGGCAGGCTTCCAGGAATACCGGCTAGATTTTCCTTGGGCACCACAATGAGTTGGGGCAGCTGCCTTAAACGTGACCTCGATAGAGGGTCTCAAGACCAAATTAAGTGACAAGAGTAGATGTCAGATATCCGCGTGAAAATGGCACACCCAAAAACGATGCATGCAGTCGTCCCTCTCTTTTGCATGGTGGATGGGTGTGGCTGCCGACTC